GTTAGCAGTCCAAAAACAAACACCGCAGAAAATAGAAAGAAGAAGAAAGTTCAGGAAACACCGAAACAGAACATATCTACCTTCCTCCATTGACCTCCTACTCTCAACCACCATCGTCGGCAGCCCTTTCTAGCCCTTTGCGGCTCATCTTCCTTGCCTTCCTCCACCAAACAGCAGCACCAAACAGAGTAGCAGCACTGAACAGAGCAGTAGCTGCAGAACAAATTTGTATCTGCTCTTAACCACCACCGTCGGCAGCCCCTCCCAGCCCTTCACGGCTCATCTTCCTTACCTTCCTCCACCAAACAGCAACGACTTCTTCACCGAATAGAGCAGCAGCACCGAACAAAGCATGGTAAGTTATGATGAAGAGGATGGGATCAGGAGTTTTGGCTCGAACGGTGGCATTTACTGCGTCTTCGATTCTCCAAGAGAGCATGTGTTTATCAAGATACTCCTGCACCAACATTGATTATCTCTCCGATCAAGAACTGAAATAATCGATTGTAAAGATCTAAGAATATGAACCTTCACAGCTTCCAGATGCAGTCTTCCGAAAGAGTCAAACTCCGACTGACTTCTCTCAATCGGTATCTCGGCGTTTGGACTACGACACAGCGGCTCAAATCCAACAATTCTCCTCCTGACTCCTCTCAATTTTTTTATTTTTATTTTTAGTAATGATGCTTCACCTATTTTACATTTGATTTTATCGTGGATTTGGTTTGGATTTTTTTTATATTCAAGATTTATTTTAGAGTGAATTTGTGGACTTTTTGATATTTTTTTTATTAAGATTTATTTTATAGTAAATTTAGTTTAAAATTGAATTTTTTCTTATTATCATGCTTGATAAATTTATTTTATATTATATATTTTAATATTTATTAGTTTAAATTTAAAAATTATATGTACTTAATTAAATTTATTATTTTAAATGGCTTAAATAATGATTTTCAAGTTGATTTTATGATGATTATTTCTTAAGAATAAAATGAAAGTATTATACAATAGTAAAATCTAATGAAAATGTAAAAAAAAAAAAGTGTTTTTTAGTTGACCAGTTGGACTGGTCAGGTGAATTAGTTCAACCGATTCAACCAGATC